CTACGTAGCAACAAGGTTTTCTTTTTCTTGCCTACGCTTTTTCTCAATCATTCAAAAACATTGCCATACAAAATCATCTTGGCCAAATTTTGCAAATAGCAAATGTAATGCTAGGCTTGGAAATAAAATAATCCGTTGTTCAAGATGCCATTTTGGCTCCTTATCTTGTTCTTGTGGCCAATTGATATGATAATTTGTTTCGATACAGGTGCCAGTAGCTGCTGCTGTTTATTATGAGGATGTTTATGTTAACTTTAACCTAGTTAAGGAAACTGCCGCTCAAATAGAGGGAATTCAGCTATGGATTACCAATGAATATATGCATTCAGGTTTGAGAGACTCGGGCACTCAGGTGTTGGACCATTTGCTGGGCATGTTAAACGGGAAAAAGCCCCTATTTTAGCAAAACTTGTACGATTAAGGGGAACTTAATTTGATATTTGCTTGGAGATTATGTTGTTTAACATCTATTTTCAGCATTCTAAGAAAATACGAAAAGATTAAGTATAAGGAAGAGGAGAACATAACGTCGTCAATGAGTCGTTCTTTTCAAGTGAATATGAAGGATTAATGGGAAACATTAAAACGGTATAGATATCAGAATTTAGCTTAAAACGGTATCAATTTTAAGTGGGGAAATATTGGATTTAGTACTTGCAAGTGAATATGAAGGATTAATGGGAAACATTAAGTTTAATACTTATAAGAGATAACCCAGATTTTGGAACCATAGGAATGGTATAGATATCAGAATTTAGCTTCTGATTCAACTTTGCGTACAAGTATATTATGGTATCAAGGTATTAGAATCTATATGTATATATATAATTACTTGCATTTCATTTAATTTTACCTAATAAATAAAACCTAATAATTTTACCTATGTGGCAAATCGTAAATATAACTTAATAAATAAAAAATCTAGTAAATTCTACCTATGTGACATTAGTCCACCCTATCTCATTAATGATAATATATTTAATTACATTTTTTGGATTAATCTATATATATATAATTACTAGCTAATCCTATTTAATAAAACATTTAATAAAAACATTTCACTTTCCCTCCAAAAGGAGTTACATTTTTTTTAATTAATTACTCACTAATTCACATTTAAAAAGGTTTCTTTTAGTTAAACCTAATTAGTTAATGGCTAAATTAAAAAGGTTTTTTTAAGTTAATCCCACATTTATGTTTCTTATTCTCATTTATATATATAAACATGGCAATCATTATTATTGTGCATAAACTATACATTATTATTTTTTATTCTATTATGAATTGAATAAGCAATTAAAGTTATAAAAAATATTAATAAATGTAATAAATACAAACATTATAATACAAATCATGTTACATTACAATATAAAAAATGAAATTATTTTTTTTTTGTAATTTAATTTTCAGCCATACTCCATCAAACATATAGCTGCAAAATGATAAGAAAGATTAGTTTCATAATTAAATTAAAATTTAGCTCCTCCAAATGGTAAAACCTTATAAATTAGTAGTATGGATACATTTAAATGACATATGATTTATAAAGTTAGACTATGCGCATAATAAGATGAAATAAAAAAAGTTATGAAGTAAATAAATAAATTAACAGTATATATAATTATTATAGCAAAGTCTGTATTGTCAATATTATCGTTTAAAAAGTTCATTGAAAAAACATATGTATAAAAAAGTCATATGATCATAATTAATAGTGCAAAATTAACTATCTTTGACTTTCCATTTGGTAGTAATAATAAAATATTTTATATTACTATTATTAAATAAAATGCCTGAATTCTGCAGATTTGATTATCGCAATCAACATTATGTTTTATAAATTAAAAAGTGTGCGGAATAAATTGTCTCATATTTTTCATTAAAAAAAAAATTGTTAGCCGTGAAAAAAAAAATATTATTTCACAATTATAAATATAAATATGATTAATTTTCATTAAACAATCCCTCTTTAAGAAAAAAGTGGCGGGACAAATTTCTGCATGATTATAACATCAAAACATATCCAAAGCATCAATATTTTAAGGCATTAAAACCATACTTTCAGCAACAGAAAAGTCATATTAAACGGAAATTGGCAAAGTCAAAGAATGAGGATTGACAAGGCATCATATGTAATGACATATTGTTATATATAATATAGAAACATCAAGCATAATTAATAATCAACCAAAAAAAAAGTCAAATCTATATGAAAAAAAAATCAAAATTAAAAACACAACAAACTATGTGGAACATTATTGGACACTATACAATATAGAAAGAAAAATAATTTGATTTCCCTATCATTATCAATGCATTCAACTTTTACCAAGACATCTGCCTTTATATTAAAATCGATTTTTTGCGTAAAAGTTTTAAAAATAAAAATCCCTACAGATTCTTTTAAACATTAAACAATAAATTTCTAATATGCGATAAATATATGTAAACAAATTTGTTATAAACGTACCTAATATTTCTAAATTTTGAACAAAATACTAAAAACTTTGAAAAACTTCGGCAAAAGACTTTGAACAACTTTGAAAAGCGATTTTGAACAAGTGTTAAGCAAAGCTTCACTTACTGATATGATGAGAAAGATGAGAAAGAATTGAACTATTTAGTGTTCAAAATCTGAACAAAATACATAAAA